TTATACATTTATGTTCTGCCACGTTTTAGCTTTCGCTGTCATTTTACGACTTTTTAATTGGCATGTCAGTTTTTATATGTTGATCCAATTATCGGTCAGACTTTTATAAAGTATCATATGCAAGTTGATTTAAAAATAATCTGGTTGTCTTTACAAGCTAAATTTAAATTGATAACGGGTTTTCAAAGTAACGAATGGTTTTTAGTAGCATCCCGAAAAGAATTTCGCAAATAAATATGTTTTATAAAAAAAAGTCTTGCGAAAAATGCACTCTGATATTTATGGAAAAGCGGGGTGTTACAGTTGGTATCAGAGCACATTTTTGTGAATATAAATACTTCAGCGAGTCAGAAAGTTTTTATAAAACCCGACCACACCACGCTGACGCATCACCGACTACCAAGTAAGTGCTGATTTAAAATTTTTATAAACAAATTACTATGTCTATGCTCAGTACGATGTCAGATATCTGATCTCAAAATCAGTAAGGATGCTCAAATTAAAATTCAGAACCTTAGAAAGGGGCTAAGTTTGAGAACTCTAGATTAAATTCTAGATTTATTCAGGTCAAATTAACGACTCGTCAAGAGATTTGTAAGAACTTATGTTGTACAAATCTTAGCAATCATGTTCCTCAGACATTTTTCTATCAAAATTGCTCATTTTTGCCAACCAGTTGGCACATTCTAGGGAGGAATTCCCTGAGTTAGATCAGGGAATAGACTCAAATTTCCTAAGTCAGATCAGTAAATCAAGTTCAGGGCTAACTTTTCATGATAGAGGTTGTTATAATTCTTAAGGCCATTGTCAAAAATAACGGTCCCCAGTGTATAAGAGTCAATATTCCGGGTTGTCATGGAGGCTTGAAATAAGAGCCACTAATCCGGGTATACCATGGAGGCTTGAAGCTGGGACCGGAGCAGTATAATTTCATGTAATAACAACCTTTAAAGCAGTTATGACAGGTATGTTATCAATGTGATATTTCAAGTTATGGTTTTCAAAGCTCAAAATCAGT